GTGAGAGAGTGTGTGAAGGTTTAGTGGTGGTGTGGAAGGTTGCACATGCATATGAAATGATAAAACTGTGGTCGACAATAACTTCCGTAGCCTAAAGTCTTGAACCGTGCATCAGATCAGGATCAACTCGCTCTTAAACGATCCAGTGGCTCCTCCTCTCTCGGTGATGAAACCATATCAAGGAACCTCATTAATTAGTGAACTTCTTTTTCCAGTTCTGGCTCTTCTCCTCTCCGAGAGCTCTTCCTCGCATATGATGTCCTGACAGCGCCTGACCTTTCATCTTCAAGCAGCTCTCACTGTGATTTGGCAAAGCGACATGGATCAGAAAGATCTGCAAAAGCTGAGTTGCTTCAGTATCAAGAGTCTGCTGCTTCCGTCTAAAAGCGAGAAGCACGGCCAGAGATGTCCAGAGAAGCACAAGCCGCTGTCGGGCGCCGATGCGAACCGATCCGCGGAGGCCGCCGGGACGCAGAGGGACTCGGAGGAAGCCAAAGATGCTGCAGAGGAACCCGGCAGAACTGCGAAGCTCGACAAGCCGCCGTTCAGCTACAACGCGATGATTATGATGGCAATCAGACAAAGCCCCGAGAAGAGACTAACGCTCAACGGAATCTACGAGTTTATCACCAAGAACTTTCCGTTCTACCGGGAGCACAAGCAGGGCTGGCAGAACTCCATCCGACACAATCTGAGTCTCAATAAATGCTTTGTTAAAGTGCCAAGACATTACGACGACCCGGGCAAAGGCAACTACTGGATGCTGGACCCCTCGAGCGATGATGTTTTCATCGGCGGCACGACCGGCAAGCTCCGGAGACGCTCGGCCACCTCCAGAGGAACGCTGGCCATCAAGCGAGGACTGCGGTTCTCCCCGCTGGGGCTGGGGCTGGGGCTGGGGCCGGGGATAAACGAGACGGCGAGCAATCCGCTGTACTGGCAGATCTCGCCTTTGCTATCTCTGCACCCTCAGCATTACAGCGGAACGGCGCACGGGTTTCTGAATCAAGCTCCCGGTTACGGTTCTGTCGTCCCTGCGGCGCGCTGTGGCGGTGCTCTCGGTCTGACGAACACTTACGGGATGAGTTCGTCTCCCGTTGGGCTGCTATCCGTCCCGTCAGGCTACTTGCACCCACCGGCCCTGCAGCAACACGCGTTCAGCTCCCAGCACCCGCTGCTCGCCGACTCCCGCAGGACCTCCTCCTCCTCCTCCTCCCCGGCGGTGTCCGGCGCTCTACCCGCTCTTCTGTCCCACCACGACACGGGCTCTCCAGATGCCTTTTAAACTGAAAGTGATTTCGTTGCGATGAAATCGTGTAATCATGCACTAAATGCTTCCGGACAATTTGACGAGCATAATTGAGCTGGCTTTCATTGTTACGCGCTTCGAAAGCGCAAGAACCTTTGGTGAGAAATGACCAGTTAATGCGATTTAACGCCAGAATATTTATATGCTGTTCGAAGTGGAGTTAATTTATATTTTATTTCTTAATTGTATTTGTTGTCACGCATCCATCCACGATCCATTAGTCAGCAGTCCTGCTGAAATCATACATGTTCACGGTCTCAACCTGGAGTCTAAGTGGATTTAT